TTTGAAAACTGCATTTGGTGTCCTTGAATTTTATGTTCTGGATGAGCTGGGTCATGGCATCTTCAAAAGGTAGCAACTCGTTGATTTGTGGCGGAGAGTTTCTGGATATGAAGCCGTATGACTCGTTTGTTGTGGATTCTGTATTATTTAAGAAATGATAAGCTTTCCACCGCATCCGACGTAGGAAATGCTCCGTCTTCTCGATGAATCTCTTCAAGTATTCGTTCTTTTCTGGCAGTGGGATATTCTTGGTTGAATAGTTCAAATTCACCTTCTCCATATTGATAGGACCCTGGCTCTAGCCCTGGCTCTAGCCCTGCTATTGAGCACTTTTTAGTAGATGATGATCTCATTCCGCTATTTTGGTTATATATATATATATATATTTAAGCGTATATTGCTGAGGTTTGCAAACTTCCTTGAACCAGTGGAAAAACTCTATGGACGTCATTAAATGGTTCGACAGCATCCCCGACAAACACAAGCACTCGTTCACTGTCTTCGATATCGACAACTTTTACCCCTTCGATCACGGAAACCCTCTTCCTGGATGCCATCAACTACGCCAAAACCTTCACCACGATCACCGATCAAGACATGAACATCATCGTGCACTGCCGTAAATCCCTCCTCTTCAACCACCCCACCGCCTGGAAAAAGAAAACAAATGACAACATGTTCGAGGTCACAATGGGGAGCTACGATGGTGCCAAAATATGCGAACTCGTCGGCCTTTTCATCCTCGACTCCCTCAGCAGAAAAACAAGTAACACCAACATCGGCTTTTACAGAGACGACGGTCTCGCCTTATACTAAAGAACGCATCAGGCCCGGAGGCGGACCACTTTAGGAAAACAACATCAGCCCATTTCAAACAATACGGCCTTTCAATCGCCATAAACACCAACTTAAAAACAGTCAACTTCCTCGACGTCTCACTAAACCTAACGAAAGGAACATACTGCCCTTACAGAAACCCCAACAACGATCCCCTCTACGTCCATGCTAAATCCAACCATCCCCCCTCCATTATTAAGCACATTCCAAAGTCTATTAACCGGCTTATCTGTGACCTCTCCTGCAACGAAGATGTATTCAACAAAGCCAGGCCCACATACGAAGACGCCCTGAATTCAAGCTGATATAACACCCATCTCTCCTACTTCAAGCCAGCCACACCTTTACCCCCTAGTTCCCGTGATCGCTCAAAAAAACAAGAAGAATACAGATAATCTGGTTCAACCATCAGTTCAGCAAAAACGTCCAAACTAACGTCGGAAAAGTTTTCCTTACACTTGTTCAGAAGCACTTCCCCACCTCTCACAAATACAACAAAATCTTTAACAAAAACACCACCAAAGTCAGCTACAGTTGTATAGACAACATGAATTCTATCATAAGGAGGCACAATCAGAAAATCCTGAACCCCCCTCGACCAGTCAAGACCGCAAGTGCAACTGCAGAGTAAAACAAGTCTGTCCCTTACAGAACAAGTGCCTCGCTTCCTCCTTAATTTACAAGGCTAAAGTCACCACAAACAAAGACAAAACGTGCAAAAACTACATCTGCTTAACAGAAAATTCTTTTAAACAAAGATACACGCAGCATTCCCTCTCATTTCGAAAGAAAGCCTACGCTAACAGCACCGAGCTATCCAAATACATTTGGGAACTTAAGAGCACCAACACTCCCTACTCCATTCATTGGTCGACAATCCACAAAGCCGCATCTTACAAAGGAAATTCAAGAACATGCAACCTCTGCCTTGCCGAAAAATTCCTCATTATCACTGCGGACAAATCCACTTCATTAAACAAACGATCAGAACTTATTTCCAAGTGCCGCCATGAAAACAAGTTCTACTAAGAGATAAGAATACTAAATATGTTAAAATGAATGGCGTCAAATATCAAATAGTAATATCAATGGCGATCAAATAGTAGCGCCTAATATAAGAAGGAAAATTAATTATAGCAGATTCTATTTTTCGAATGAAATTCCTTTCTTTTATTTAAACCATGGGGTGCCATAGAGAGCAACTGAGCGCTGCAATAAGTCTCTTTTGTGACTAAAAGCCTATCGATCTCCTAAGAGCCACTAGGGGCTGAGGAAAAGACCATCGTTTTGCCCAACACCTAAGGACATCGGTTGGCAGAGCGTGTACGATGACTTAGAAGTATTTGAAGCTCGACTACGAACAGCAGCTTTCTTCATTGATAGTAATCCTGATGACAACCTGACAAATCCTAGCCATCTACCCCGGGTACCAAAGGATAGGAAATGGAAACCTCCAACGTCAAGGTACCCTGAACTTGAACTATTTTTAGCTAATGTACGGCGTGATCTTATCAATCCTGAGAACATTTGGCAAGCTAGAGATAACCTTTCTAAAAAAGAACGGGGTGCGCTTAAAAAACTTAAAAATTCCAATGTAGTGATTCGTATACAGGACAAAGGATCCCGATTTGTTTTAACTAATGAAAGGGAGTACGAGGAAAAAATGTTTGGTCAGCTAAACAATCAGTTGCATCATGAACCTTTGCAATTAGACCCAACCTCTAAATATTTGGCATTAGTAGAGAGTTGGTGCTCCAAATGGCTAGGAAAAGGTGAGATTTCTCCCGAAGTAGCCAAATGGGTTATAAATAAAGAAGCGAGACGAGGAGTTGCATTTGGAAACATGAAAACACACAAAACGGGTAACCCGCCCAGACTTATTACATATTGTTGTGGCACGGCAATTAAAAACATATCGGCCTTTACTGAATTTTATTTACAACCACTTGCTCGAAAATTACCATCGTATATTAAAGACACTACCGACCTGCTTACCAAAATAGAACATCTTAACACAAGCGGTCCATTTCCAACTGGCACCTTAATGGTCTCGTGGGATGTGGTTTCAATGTTCCCTAACATCGATAACAAACTAGGCCTCACTGCAGTAAGGAAGGCTTTGAGTAGAGAAAACAAATTGCCATCCACGACTTGCATTTTAGAAGCCGTAACAATTTGTTTGAAAAGCAGCCATTCTGTTTTTAAAGAGAATCTCTTTCTTCACATCCATGGCACAGCTATAGGTCGGAAGAATGCTTGTAGCTATGCCGATATAGCCATGGGCGAAATTAATCACAAAGCTAAGTTTTCTGGTCCGATAAAGCCGTCCTTATGGTGGCGATATCGAGACGATGTATTTGATCTATGGCAGCAGGGCCTTCCTGCCCTACATAAATTTACTGATTACATCAATTCTCTATATCCTACTATTAAGTTTGAGCTAGTTTTTTCTGAACGTGAGCTTCACGTACTTGATCTTACTTGATATCTTATCGATGGATTTATCAGGACAGACGTCTATTCCAAACCTACAGATAGCCATTTATACCTTCCGCCTTCCAGCTGCCATCCTAAGCACGTTTTCAAAGCTATTCCTTTTGGAGTAGCCACAAGAATG